ATTTTCCATGATGCTTCTCCTGATTTTGAGCTGATCTTCTTTGGGTTTATTTGGGCAGAAATTTCATGCCTTTATGGAAGAAAACAAAGGGAAATCAAGCTTTTGACAATTGTGAATAAAATGCCAAAACAGCACTATTCATTCAATGACTTTGTTTGTGATTTTTGTTCCTTTGTGTCAAAAGTGATCATACTTTTGTTTTATGAAAGAAAAGGCTTTATTCTTTGTTGAAAATCAGGGAATAACTTCAGCCTAATACCCAAGCTTAGAAAAGGCAAACCAGAATTGAATAGCTTTGAGTTTCAAGGTTCAGGGATGTAGAATAAACAATTACTATCTCTGGATAATCGATTCACAAGATTTGGTTTCAATCTGGAAATGTTCAGAGAAACCAAATAGTCGATTGACATTCAAAGACAATCGATTATCAAGGGCTTGCTCAAAGCTGGGTACTTTCCAGAGAGTAGAGATAATCGATTATTACTTGTAAGATAGTCGATTATGTCAGGTTGCTGGTTTTGCGAAGAAGAATCAGAGAGCTATAATAGTCGATTATCAATTATGTATAATCGATTATTCAGGGCTTTAGAATCAAGGTTGGAAGAGAAAGTGTGAAAGGCATAATTTGGGTAAAAAGGATTTGAAAAGAAACAAAGGTTTTAAAAGATAATAAGAAACTAAGGTTTGACTTGTCTTCCTTTGATTTCATTTTTGACCTGGAGTTAAAAATTGATGGGAAAGACTTTATTTTGAATTAAAGAAAAGAAAGAAGACTTTTGGATATGTTGGGAGAGTTGGGATTTTAGTGGAGCCATCCAGGGGTACATCAAGTCCCTTAAGGAGACAAGAATAAATGGTTATTATCCCATGTTTTTGAAATAGTTGCTGCAAGGAAGTTTCCTAATGTCTACATTCAATGTATTGTGTGTTTCTACCCCCCTTCCCCGGCCTATATAACTCAGGCCATAAGGCCATTGTAACAAATCTTTTGAAAATTGAAAAAAACTCTTTTACTCTTTGAGTATTCATAAAAAAGTGTGATGCTATTTTAGCCAAATTTCTAATTATATATCTTAAGAGTGGTTATCTTAAGTGTGAGTTTTAGGTTCTAGATATTTGATTAAGTGTGTCATATCTTAATTAAATTCTAGATTCAAACCCCAAGTTAGGATAAGAGTGTGTAAGATCTCTTAAACACCAACTTGGTTTATCCATTCCTGATTTTCTTCCATTTCATACCTCCCCATTTCTCCTCTTAATCTTACTCTTTTCTTCCATTAAAAATACCCAAAAGAACTCCCTCATCATCCCCATATTTTCCTAGCCATTCCCCACCCAAACACCATCATTTCGTTCCCAGAAATCTGTCAAAATAATCGATTAGCATTGTTAAAAATTGATTATCATTCCTCCATTGAAACACCAGCAGGCGTCATTAATCGATTATCACCCTCGGCAATCGATTATCATTCATTTGTGGAAACTCCTGCAGTCCTCTATAATCGATTATCACCATACTGATAATCGACTATCAGCCCCTCCTGAAAATCCAAGAAACTGAACCAGCAAATAATCAATTATCCAGACTAGATACTCGATTATCCTCCTATCCTGAAAATCGAAGGGCTTTGTTTCTTGAGTTTGAACTTAATACCGTTACACCCGGAGCCTTAGATATAACA